TAGATTGAAAATTGCTTTTATTGTCCATGAAGCATTAGTTGGATTTTCCATCCCCTTGGTAAGAATGAATAATACTAAAAGGATACTGGATAATATAGATTTAATTGGGAGTGTTATTGTTAGGAATTCACTTGCAATAGATTTGTAACAATGATCTGGAGGGTAGCCTGAATGATGCCTAGATAGTATGACTAACATAGATTGCTCCCCTTATTTAGCTGCTGCTTTTCTTTTCTTTTTTTTCCTTAAATAAATTGTATGGATTTTGTAGTGATGTGAAGAAATATATGTACTTTGGTTGGTTTAGCTTTTGTTTTGTCTTTCATCTTTATTTCCTATGGGGTCAACCTCTAAATCTTGCAAGTGTAATATACTCACATAAATCTGTTTTTTATATTAATCACTTTTACATATAGACCAGTACATACAAAGATACCAAATAGCCAATCTCACTTTAATGAGATCACACAGCTCTTCAATGTCTGTATGCTTGTTATTGAATACACAATTATTACTGAATTTCCAAATAATTTGCCAATGACTGCCATAAGAGTTTCTTTCCATATTTGCTTTTCCCCTTTGCTAAATCTCCAACCCAATCAACAAATTAGTTCAGCAGCAGCATCTTCTATGCACATCCCCTGCCTCTACTACCACCTCCAATACACTGCCTAACCTGACCAAGGTTTAATAGCAGGTCCTGGCCAGACTAAGACAACCAACCTAAAAATGAGTTAGCCCATAAAGCCACCTTAACCTTCACTACTTCACCCAACTCAACACAAGAAGGCTGCCCATTATTAAATACACAATCATTCCTGAGTTTCCACACTGACCATAGCAAGATAAAAGGTACTGCTCTCCAAATTTTCATTTCCAATTTACTTGGCTTCACTCCAGACCACCATTGGAGCACACCCTCAACTCAATCTGGAGTTGCCCACTAAAAATCCCACCAATTTAGTAGCTTAGACCTATATTATATTCATGATACTAGTATATCTTTTTCATAACTAATTGCTTCTAAAATTTCTCTTGCATTTTAATGCGAAAAAGACTTACACAAACACCGAACTTGATGAAGTGCGAGTTGAATGGATTAACTTCGTCCTAAAGAATATGCGTTGAACTCCAACATGTAAGTATGATATAACTTTCATCATTGGATTGTAATTATGTTTTTTGGGCCTCTAAATCATCTGCAAACTAAGGTTCTTTACTATCTTCACAATCTGATTTTGGTGATGGATTGTTTGTATTAGTGAGATATGGATTTTTTGATTGAAAACTTTTTCCTTCGGTAATTCAGTTTTCACATTACAAGTATTCAGGTATAGGTATTATGTGTGAGCATGCATACATGATTGCTCTCTCCTCTTTTATTGTGTTGTAACTTGTATATCATCTCAATGGTTCCTCTAACTATTCTTATATGTGGTGGGATCATCGCCCTTCTTTGAGTAGCCACCAAGTGTACCAGTGTTATAGGCCTAACTATCATTTATGGCTTCAAGGACTCTCATTCTATTTCATGTGATGAACCAGAAAAGATGTCCATTTAGGTGTATTTTTTAAATTTTCCGTTTGCTGGAATTTCAAGTGTGGAATGTTGTTCTAGGTGTAATACAACAAAGGCTTTAGCTTATCTTCATTTGCAGTAGTCTATTGTCTTGATTAATCTAGATGAGATGGCAAGATATGTATACAATATCAAAATAATATTTCATTGACTTGGCTAATAGGCATTCATTTGGTTGCTCCCTATATAAATAGAGATTCAAGGGACAATTGATTAGTACAAAGCCTTATATGTGCTAACTTCATATAATGTGTGGCATTCGCATTTTAGTGCATATTTGAGTCATTCAAAATGATAGGTCTTATTTTTCCCCTCATATTCTACCTTAACTAAAAGCAGTTCTCATAGTTTCTCTTTTGTATTCATTTACAGTGGCCTCTAACAAAACTACACTTTGCACCAAAAAAGGAGGCAACATTCTACAAACTAGGAATGTAGTTAGCCAATAGAAATCTAGGAATGAGTATAAAGAATCTGGTCAGAAACTTAAAAATAAAAGTTCAAGCGAACATATTTAAACAACTACCATTGAATTGGTGAGGCAGACTAACTCCCAAGGTTCAGGGGCTATTTTGCATTTTTTCCCTCCCAACGCCTTCTTTCCGACTAACTTGATGACATTTTCAACTCTTAAAGTGAACATATTTAAACAAAGTAAGTGTGACATTAATGAAATTGTTCTTACCAAAAGCAAACGTTAGATGACCAACTTAGATTCCCAAGAGTTGTGACAGTTTGGCGACTACGTTATTAAGATGCTCGACCTTTGTAT